TCATTTGTTTTTTCCAATCTCGATTTCTTACGTGTCTCTCGATTAACTTCTTAATTACTTACATTCTCCATTTTTAATAACTTTCAATTTTTACTTGTTTGATCTTGATTTTTCACCTATTCGATTCCTATCATCTCGATACTATTTTGATATTTTAGTGTCTTGATATCGGTTTAACCCCTTTGATTTATACAACATCAATCTTGATTTTTATCTTCTCAATCTTTAGACATCTCGATCTCAAATTTACTATTTATTTTCATTTTTATTTTCTTTTAATTTTAATATTTTCTCCAGTTCATTATTTTAATATATTTATAAATTTGTAAATAACAGTAAACTAACATATTAATTTTTAAAAATAATATATTATGTTAAGATATAAATAATATATTTAATTTGAGATATTTAAACAAATTATAACTTTACTTATACTATACTAATACAAAGGAAAACATTAGATTGAAATATTGAAAAACGTTTATGTGATTTAGCTTGCTTGCACTCTCTCTCTCTCTATATATATATATATATATAATCTACCATAAGGATTTATTTTATTATATCAAATTCTGAAGTTAAATTTAACACATGTAAATTTTTTTAAAATAAAATCAAATATTTGTTATTTTGAATGTTGATGATATGGAATATAATTTTCAAACTAAAGATTCAACATTTTATTTATGGTCAATTTATTTATTAATATTAAAAATACTTTTTAATAATTATATTTATAAAAAATTATCATTAGTTTGTTATAGTATATTAATTTGAATTATAATAATTATGTTACAACAAGTGAATAAATTATATTAATTTGAATTATAATAAATTTTATATTTTAAATTTTTCATTATATTTTATTTAAAATATGTACCACAAATATTATATATAATGTTTCTTTTTAAATGTTTATATATAATATATATAATATAAATAATATAAATAATTAAATATATTTAAATAGTTAAATATTTTAGTGTTATGTTTTAATATAATTATTTATGAGAATGTTACCAATCTCAATAATTTATTAAAAGTTAAAATATTAATTTAATTAAATAAATAATTTTGGTTACTAAAATTACTCCATCATTATTAATTTTTAATAATTAACAAATAATTCAGATTTCTGACCTCATCTTATTATTTTTAAGATTTAACATTTTAAAATATAAGGTTTCCCATTATTGAGTCGCTGCAAAAATTGATACAAGAAAACGTGTGTTTATGTATTAAAATGAAGGATATTTTTTTCCCTTAAATTTATCATAAGGGATAATTTTATTTTTAATCGTATTTTTAAATATAATCTTATAATGAAGAAATTGTTTTATTTAATACGATTTCAGTTTTTATATTTGATTCAGGTAGTATTATCTAAGAATGACTTCAATCTTTTATTATAGATTAAAGAAGTCGTATTATTTAATATAAATTCAATAAATTAATTTGTTAAACTTTTAAAATATTTGTAAATAATTTTGTTTACAAAATACTATTTCATCTTTTATTTCGAGTAAATTAAAAATATCATTTTTTTAACTATCGTTGTGAAATTATTTAAAAAATATTAATTTATTAAATTTCTCTAAAAAGTATTCATAATTTTCTTAAATATATGATTATATTTATAATTAAATGCTACTATTCATAATCATATATTCTTATTTTTATACATAAAATCCTCGTTAATATTGTATACTTCGTATACACATTCAGGAAACCATTCAACTTCTCCATGCATATGTTCAACATAAAAAAAAAAAACAAGTGCCTTTCGAAACTGATAAATAGAAAAGCAATTAGTTTTTTTTTAATAGAGAGTAGAGTTTTCATAATGACTTATATAGTATATTTTTTATATTCTTAATTTTAATAACTATTAAATACAAAATTAATCAATGAGATTAGATCATCGGAGTGATTAAAATGTCACATAGATATAAAATAATAAATATATTTTTTTTCTCTCTCACTCTCTCACACACACTCCCCCTCTCTCTCTCTCTCTATATATATATTGAAAGTAGTTTTTTCTATTAGTCATACAAACAAGACAGTTTTTTTTTTTTTTAATATCAAGGTCTTGTTTCGAAATTTGAATATTTCTTTGCTAAAAGATATAAAATTATTAAAATATTAATTCGTTGTGGTCTTTATTTTTATTTGTTTACAGTGCGTTAATATTTTTTTATATATCTCTACGAGTAATTTTAATTTGTACGTGTTATAAATTAGTAAAAAAATAAATGATAGTTCGACATTGTAAATTTTGTTTTGAAAGTATCAGGCGATGAATTTTTTGTTTTGTTTTGATCTAGTTTTGTTGTTTAGATTTTAAAAGTATTTTTAAATTTCAATTATTTTTTAATGTTTTGATTTTTTTTAATAAATGATAGTTTGATATTATAAATTTTTAAATCATTCTATATTTAATCTTTTTAATTATTTATTATTTATTATAAAAGAGAAATAAAGAAAGACCTGTCATAGTCGATTATGAATGTCTCCTAAATTAAAATTTATTTTTTATTATTTATATAATTGCTAGTTGTATTTTTCTTTGCACTTTCGAAGAGTCTCAAATTTCTATCTCATTTTTTTTATTCAATTTATGGTTTAAGGTTTGAAATTGTTTACATAAACAAAAAATCCTGTGTATAATATTTCATTTGTAAAAGTCTACTCTCTAACCGAAAAAATTGGGGGTTAAGAAAGGTAAATTAAATAAATAAATCAACAAAATAAAAAGTAATTAATATTCTTTATCATTTATATGATAATCAAACCTTTTTAGAATAAAAAACTATATTAAAAAAGGGTAATTTGAAAAGTATTTATTATAGTTTAATTTTGCAAATTACTTGTTTTATGAAACACATTTTTTAAACGATGTATATTTAAGAAACAAGAAATATTGTTTGAATAAATAAAAATGTAAAGAGTGCAATATAAGTTTCTAGAATAAATGGTGTACAATATATTATTTCTAGATCAAGAACCATGACTATTAGAATAATGATTTATTATAATTCTGATTTATTACAATCACAAACATTATAAATTATAGTGATTATTACTTCCTATTTGGTGATTATTTAATCTGCCAACACGATGTTCCTTGAGAGATTTGATAAAAGATTTCAAATCAATAACCAAGATATTTAACAAGAGTTAAGAATTGTTGAATATCTTTGTTACAATATTTGTTACATTATAATTTTTTAATATATTTTGTCGTATGAAATAAAGTACAATATTTCATAAAATCTCGTTCAATTCGTGTTACAGCGATTGATTTTATACTGAAATCTTAAATATATTTTTAGTTTTTTCAGTTTCTTTTATTCTTCTCCTACCATATATTAATTTGAAGATCTCCAAAATTTGTGTAGAAGAACCCATTTTTGGTAACAGATCTATCTTCTCCTTTAGTTCAAGATATTGATAAAAATACAAATCATGTTTAAGATTCTAATGGAAGAAGATCGAGTACTAAAATATATTTGATTTCTCATTAATATTTTTAAACACATTAATATAAATTTATTAATAATTTAGAGTAGTATATTATTTTATTATAAATCTAAATTATATCACAATTTTATCATTCGTCTCATTCTTTAACCAAATAAACTGAAGTATACTTTTTCATTCACCAATTTCTATATTATCAAATACTAAAAAATTACATTTATTTATTTATAATTTTTTTGAAATCAAATATAATAAATATTTTAAAAATAAGATAATCGATTATATGATAATTAAAAAAATTAAAAAAAATTATATTCATAATAAATTATTGATTGTTTAAATGAATAAATTTATTTTTACTATTTATTTATTATTTCTTTTAATTTAAATTTTTTTATTTTCTATATATATATATATATTTTTTTTTTTCACTTTTTCAAGTATCCTCTGCTAATGAAAGTAGAAGAATCATGAAATAAATAGTATTTTTGGAATATACTTTTCTTTTTGAAAATTATAAATAATAATTTATTAAAATAAGTTGAATAATAATCTTCTCCGGCGGACAGTGACTTCTCAGTCCAAATCAGATCCATGCATTAAATGTTTACGTAATCATTACCCCACTTTTCCTCTTTTATTTATTTATTTATTTATTATTATTATTATTATTTTTCCTTCTTTCCTTTTCCATCATAACTAATACTTCCTACTCTCTATCTCACCACCTTTTCCATCTTTCTTATTTCCATTTTTCTTTCATTTAAAAACATTATTTTAACAAACTCTCCCAAAATATTTATATAATTTAAGTTTAATAATTTATTTTCTTTTAGTTTTGTTTTATTATTATATAATTTACTTTATTTAAGTTTAATAACATGTTATAGATTTATATATAAATATATAATATAACATACTTAATCAATTATAAAAATAATATATTAGATTGTTTGGTTACCGCGGCGAGATAGAATTAAATTTGTTGTATAAAAATAATTAAAAGATTAATTAATCGCTATAGAATTTGCTAATCCGTTATTCAGTTGTCATGATAATATAAACAAGGAAACAAAATAATTTCTAAGGATATTATTATCCCGATTTATATTCTATACATATTTTTTTCCAAAAATATAATCTTATCCTGAATATTATTTCATACATAATCGTATTTATTCATTGTATATTTCACTTAAAGATTATTTTGATAGAAATACTAACTTATAGTGTGAATATAACATATCAAAATTTACCGTATCTAAATAAAATCTTAGATATGATAATCTTAAATTAATTGATAATTGATAATAATCATAGACAAAAAATTCAGTATACTACATCTATAAAAGGAGGAGCAGATGGAGGTGTAAGTCATTCGTTCAACAGTCTTTTAGCTATTTCATCTTTCTCATCGGAAAAGGCATACAATCATCACTCTTCGTTGCATTCTACCATCATCATCGTTTTTATTCATCGTGTTTTTTCTGTATAATAAAACTCTTCTCCAACCAACCATGGTTTCTCTGAACCCAGACGCACAAGAATTTGTTCCAACCAATAACCTCCACCTTCAGCAACAACAACAATTCTTTCCATACCCCAATTTTCCCACTTCCATTATCACTCCTCACGACCACTACTACTATTACTACTACTACGGTTCTTCATTCCCCTATCGAGAGCTTTACCCCATCTATTATTACCCCACCACAATAGTTCCACCACCTTCCATGATCTCTCATAATGCCCCCGTAACCATCCCTTTAGCGCCTAAAGCTGAGACACCCCTTGTTCATAACATAGAAAATGACCCTAGCCCCGTGGAAGCGCATGCAGTGCCCCAGAAGAACGACGAGGTGGTTGTTGCTGAAGCCGAAACGGATGGCGCAAAAGGGCTTGTGCAGAAACAAGTGTGTAAGGCTTTCATTAGTTGCGGATCAGTGAATGGTCACCGTTCTGATGGTATGAGAATGAAGGCTTACGCGCAGAGAACGAAGGGAGAAGCGAATGGTCAACACAAAAGTTTTGACTTTTTGAAGAACCGAAAAGTTACGAGGTACCCGGATGAACAGTGCCCCAGGGTTTACCCTAAGAAGAAACGTTTTTATCCTCAGTTGCCTGTTAATGTCGAGAAGAATGAAACCACTGTCATGATAAAAAATATTCCTAGCAAATACACGTATGTAATCTACGATTCATACCCCTTCGTATTCCCTATTTTTCATTTTTTTCATTAATTTTAAAAGTCTCTTTACGTTTTTCTTTTTTTTTCCCTGAAAATTTTGATGTTTGAGACTATTTTTAACGCAATTTTTGCTTCTATTCGTTGTGTCTGACGCAGCCGAGACATGCTGGTGGAGTTTCTGGACAATCACTGCATGAATTTGAATAAAAGAATCAAAGAATGCGGTAAACAGAAATGCGAAGAGCCAATCACTTCTTTAGCTTTTGATTTCGTTTATTTGCCAATTGATTTCCAGTAAGTTACAATTTGTTTGTGTTTATCTATTTTCTTTTTCTGTGTGAAATGGTGTGGAAACCGTTGATCATGATTTTGTTCTGCAGAAGTGGGATGAACAAGGGTTATGCTTTTGTGAACTTCACCGAATCCCAGGCAGCGTGGAAGTTTCTTTGGACAGCCTCGCATCTGAAATGGGACTTGTTCCAGTCCCACAAGATACGTGAAGTGGTTTCTGCACGTTTGCAGGTATGGTCACATACACAATAGAATCATAGATTAGACTTAATCATCATTGTTTCTATTTAACCAGTAATATTATTATTCTTGACAGGTTAAATTATTATATTTCTCTCTTTACCTGATTATAGATACATTTTAATTTAATAAAAATATTTTGAGTTTTTCCTAAAATGGGTAAATTACTGTTTCTTTTGCGAGAGACCTAAATAAGTATTTGTCAAGTTTTCATATCAAGAAACTACAATGCCAATTTAGAGACTTAATTTACATTGAACAGTGTCGTGTATCGATGTTGTAGTTCTTCGGTAACATCAAGAATAGGGTCTCATATATTCTGTGTTACAATGCAGGGGAAGGAGACGTTGGAGAAGCATTTCGAAACTATGAACTTTCCGTGCGAGTCCGAGGATGTTCTACCAGTGTGTTTCAACCCACCTCGCGATGGTGTAATCAAGGGAGAGCAACGCACAATTGGGAATCTCTCTGGGCGTTAACAAGATTGAAATGCAAGATTGTGCCAAAGATTTTGTCGTTGCTCAAAGATGTTTCATGTTTCTTTGTATTTGTTAATACGAGTTTTTTTTTTTTTTTGTTCTGGTAAATGTAGTAATGATATATCATTTCAAATTGTGAATCCGGTTTTGAAAAGTTCCACGAATGGGTTGGGTGGATCCTGGCCACTTCATCCCATGATAAGTAGAGATTGTGTGGTGGGGTCCACCCTTCTTCCTCTTGTGGATGTTGTTATAGCCTCAACTCTGAATCAAGCATAGTCATTGCAGTATTACTTTGTTGGTATTCTGTTCTTTATATAATATATATATAGCTTCTACGAAAGTTTAACTTGTTTTTAAGCTCTGGGAATATATCTTAATGCGTCGTATCGTTTATGTTCCTATTTCTAGTAATGTCGCAATTTGTTGCTTCGAAAGTTCAAATTCTTGATGTTAGTTTTGTGAAATCTGGCATGTTAGGGCTATAGTCAACGCCTGGAGAAATGTATGAAGTCAAAGGTCACTAACCTTGTCTGGGGTCAGAGCTAAGTACTGAATGGTTGATTTCCTTTTGAGATTGTGCTTGTGGGGTCAAAAGATTTTAACCCTTTTGAAGCAATAAAAATTAATTGGTGAGTCATAGGAGGAGTTTTGTTCTCTTCTGAAGTTGGGCTAAAATGGTGCAAAGTTGGGACTTTTTCTGGAGGTGGCCGTTTGGAAAGTAGAGCTTGTCTGTCCTCTACACCTTTGGAGCCTTTTTTATGATACCTTCGACAATCTCTCTGTACTTTTTAACTTGTACGCGTCTTTGTGGCTTTCTAAAACCTTTGCCTTTGAGAATTTGGGAACTATGTAATGCGGAAACGGAAGCTGATTGCTTTCGAATTTAAATTAACTCTTTCGAATTTTGGAACTTTTATAATTATAAAATGAATGTAAATCTATTATTTCAAATACTTGTATACATATATTTATTTTTATTTACAAAGAATGCACACAATATTTTATTGAATTTAAACAACATGGCTTAATAAATTATTTGATTCCCATAGTTTGTTAAATTTGGAAACCTTCATTTTATAAATAATGCAAAATATAGTTATTGGGAGCTGCTTCCTTCGTCGTTGATTTTGAACGAGGTTCATTAATTTCTGTAATAAGAGCATAATATGTTTAAAAGAGTGCAACTTTATTTTATCCTATTTATGGTAATGAAATTTGTACCCTCGTACTCTCTTCGAGGTTAAAAAAAAAATAAATTAGGTTGAATGGCCGTAGATTTGTCTCGTTTTAAAATGTAACAGATAGGTACAATAATTTTTTCCGTTTGAATTTTATATTTAAATATAATTTTTTAAACATAAATTTTTCTTTTCTTTTTTATATTTTTTTATATTTTTTATCCTTTTCTATCTTTTCAATCAATTAATTTATTATATTATTCTCTTTCTCCTACTTTTTAGTTCTTCACACATTTTTATTTTATTTAAATTTTTTCAATTTATTTAACCTATTTAAGAAATAAAAAATTATTATTTTTTTATTTATCTTTCACTAAATATTTCATATTTAATATCAGTAATACGAAGTATTATTTTATTTTTAACTTATTTTTATTAAGTTTTGTTAAATCATTACTATTTTTTTATTATTCTTATTTAACATATATCAATTTTATCTTAATAAAATAATTATATCTATTAAATAATTATATTTTAAAAAATTAAAAATAATTAATAATTAAAATTTTTATTATTTTATACTAATTAAATAAGAATGACCTTATTAAATTTTTTTACAAATTATATATATTTTATATTTATTAACATTTTAAAATGCCAACTTTAAAAAAATTAACTTATACATGTAATATAACAAGTAAAAATTATATATAAAAAATGAACAGGACAACTTTTCAAGATACCAAACACCACTTGAGTTAGGTTTTGTATTGTTAAACTATACTCTTTCTCTCCCAAAAATTATTTCAAAAACCATCTTATTAAAAATAAGAAAACTTCATAGAATACTCTTACCTCTCTGGATCAAATCTCAGAGACATACAATCCTCTCTTAAGTTCTTATACTATATTCAAAAGGTAAAAATTTACTTTCAAGTAATATTTAGGCTTATTTTCACCAAAAGACCTCAGGTTAAAGAATATGTCTAATCCTCCAAAATGGATAGTGTTATTTAGCCGCAATCACAAAAGAACACAATATTGAGATTATCAAATATCTTATTAGCTATTGGTAAAATGAAGGGTATACTCACATTTATTATGGAGTTATTAGATTAGTCATTTCTCTTCATAGAAGACGTAGTTCACTCTTCATGCCGGAAGTGTAGTACTAACCATCTTTCTGTTAGATCCTTTTGAGTGGGACACAACACCAATGAGACATGAACCCAACTAACATAAGAGATTAACACCACCTTCAAACTAAAACTTTAAGACATTGAGTTATGCATTTTTCTTCCTTATATGTTGTTGAAATTTCTCATTCTTACTCAATGTGAGACTTATACTCACATTTGGATTTTCCAACAAACTTCCCCTTAAATGAGATTTCCTTCACATAAGTACATCCCCTCAAGCTCACTAGTGACCCTTTCTTGTACCGTCATTCATCATAACGGGACACATTTATCTAATGCACTGTCAGGAAGACTTTCGATATAGGAACCACTCTTAAATCGTCGATCACCATACAAACCAGGTTTTGATACTACTATTGGGTCTTTTGAGGGAGAATTCACTGCGGAAAGATAATACTAATGAGACATAAGCTTAAGTGACATAGACACCACCTTCAACCTAAAACGTTAAGGTAAATTAAAGAAGCTCCTATTTTCTCAAAGTTTGATCTCAAATCTAGATTCTGGCAACTAGATATTGCTTATTCTGATAGATATAAGATAAATTTTTGCATACCTAATGTCCAATATCAATGGAAGATTATGCCCTTCAGGCTAAAAGTAGCCCCTTCACTATTCCAAAAAGCCATGACAAAGTTTTTTTAACCATATTAGACAAAGTTATTATTTATATGAATGATATCTTACTGTTCTCTAAAGACATAGACTCTCACAACAAGTTATTGGGTCAGATCTTCAAAATATGCCATTAACATGAGATAATGCTCTTTGAAAAGAAAATCCCTTTGGCCTAAAGAAAAATTGATTTTTTGAGAATGCATTTTTCTTAAGGGTCATATCAACCTCAACCTTACATTGCTGAAGAGCTACTCAACTTTCTTAATGAGAATTTAATCATCAAACAGATCCAACAATTTTTAGGATTTTGTGTATATGTATTCTGATATATGAAATATATATCATATAGGTATATATTTTATTCATGTACTCTATATATAGAGTACAAATATGACAAAATATTAAATATTAATAATATTTCAATCATAATTGTTTAAATAAAAATAATAACCTAATATCCTTTTATCTTCATTTAAAAGATGATAAAAATATTTCAATACCTAATTTAAATAAAAGATAATAAAGTAATATTCCCAACAAGTTTTCACCTTTGTCCTGGTGGAGACAAGAATTTTAGATTTTCAATGACAGAGAAGAATGATTGAAAATTCTCTTGATTCTCTCACCTCTATCTTTATTATCCACCGTGCATATTTCTAGAATCACATAGGACATTTATGGTCAATAAATGAAGTTTATATTTAGGGAAGTTTAAAACATATCCTTTGGATGACAACTACAAAAATCGGTTGGCCAAACATCTATGTGAAAACATGATCATTCCAAAAGATGATGGTTCCAAAAAGATAAGATTATTCAAATCAATAACCGAGCTTTATGTGCTTAAGGAATAATTTCAAAAGGTTAAAGAATTAACAGATAATTACAACTAAGAACTGGTGGAAGAGATTATGCTTCACAAAAAGATATATCCTTACTAGGACCCACTGTACGAAAACATGACTTGGAGTGAAGCTCGATAGATGAATTGTTCGAATTCTATAAGATCATATTCAAAGTAAAGACTTTAGTTAATGATTGTCATCATGAAAAACTATTAAAACAAGATTCCCTTATCTTTACACGTGGTCATTGCATGTACTACAAACGTGTCATTGAAAATAAGAAAAAATCCACTTTACTTTATCCGGAATGATATATGCTATCTTATATTGTTTGTAAAATATTAGGCCATAATAGGTTTGGGTTAAAACCTAAACTTCAGATTTCAATTTGTATGATATTTTCAGGTCCAATTTTAATTTAGTTTAGCAAAATTTTCACTTTTGTTTGTATAGTGTGACTATAAATAGAAAGGCTTGTAATGACTCAAGGAAGAATAAATTGAATACAAAGTTCCTTTCTTAAAAATGTCTTCTTTTTTAGTTTTATTTTGTTTGAAAGTCTGAAGTATATAATTTATGTTATCTCTTCCATACTTAGATGCAAGTATGCTCTACACTCACCTCTTCTGAGGATCTCGTATATTAGAAATTTTATGATCCTTAAACCATCTCATCGCAGTTCCTCTCTTATTGAGAAATAACATGAATATTGAGAGGACATTATTGCCATGACGGCTAAAGTTTGTCCTAGTGAATTCATGTTGTTTGGATAAGAAGGGAGTTCTGTCTAAAATGGTATCAGAGCCTAACCAATTTCTAGTGGAGGTATGATAGTATAAATTGTATATAATAATCATAATATTGTGAGTGTTTGATAAAATTCTCATTGAAAGTGAGAAAAATAAAGTCTCATACAAGGGTAAAGGATGCTTCAATATAAAAGGAAATTCAAGCAAGTCTAATAATGAGTCTGGTGTTAGTGAAATACAGTAATAATTCAATAAGTCGTCTATAGGGAGAAGGATCCGAGAGAAGCGTGCCTTGATCTGCATGGATTTTCATAAAAGGATCTGAAGGTGTAGGGGATGGTTTGCAGCCAAGTAAATTTGCTTGTTGTTTTAACCATATAGAGACTTGTGAAGCTTACAAACAAATGT